GATCTCCTTCTTGTCATCCTCAACTTGTCACTAAGTTGTTGCTTCTCCTCTTCGGCCATTTAATCTTTAGTATTGTGAGAAGTTGGCTGTTGATAAAAGTCTGCAACAGGCTGTTAGAAATGCTTTTTTGTGATTCACCAATTGCCTGACCCACGTAGAAGCACTGACTGACTTGACATTCGTAGAGAAGCTCGGAATCTTATTCCTTGTGCTTAGTGCAGCAGATTTCACAATAAAGGTCTGTCTTGGTTTCTGATCCTGTCCAGCTTTGGCATCCTCATCCTCCATGACGTTTGTAGTTAAAGTTCGTGAGAGTAATCGATGCATAATTGACTTTTTTTTGGTTATGAAATGGGAATAGTTTTCAAGAATCTTCAAGAATCATAATTTCAGCTGCTTTAACTACCATTTTCACTATTTTTTTTGGTGAATATCATATCGCAAAGGTATATATATATCTTTCCTCTGATCATCATGTTTATTATCATCACCCTGTCATCAAGAGTCCATTTTAAAACCTCATTTTCTTCAGGTTTTTTTCTGTTATTATATTTCTGATCTCTTCGTTCATGTTATCAGTCAACAGGAATAAATGATGTCAGTTCGTGATCCAAATTGAAATCAATCAAATACCTGCAAACCATCACTTGAAAATTAATCTAGTCCATATTAGTGACTATTTTATTGAATTTTAGATTTTCCTGTCGATTGATTGGACCGAAATGCTTGGTCTCAGGTTGACATGTCGGCTTCTTGTGCAGATGCTTCGACAATGTCTGGGCATGTAATTATAATTTAATTGGTGGATGGTGACTAGCAGTGGAATCCAGGATGCGCATTTCGTCCTATTTGGGACTCTCCTGGTGGGACTCGTTATCTGGCGGATGTACCTGCATTCCCCAGTGAGTGATGATGTTCCCACTGAGGCTCGAACCCAGTGCCCATAGTTTCAAACGCCAAAGCGTTATCCACTAGACCACTTGGGTCGCGAGAGCCACCTCTTGTGCAACGGATCACACTAATTATTTAATTCAATTTTAGATTTTCTCATCGATTGATTGGACCGGAGTGCTCGGTCTCAGGTTGACATATCGGCTTCTTGTGCAGATGATTTGACGATGTCTGGGCGTGTGCTAAATAATTAATATGACCCGTTGCATAAGAGGTGGCTCTCATGGCCCAAGTGGTCTAGTGGATAACGCTTTGGCGTTTGAAACTATGGGCACTGGGTTCGAGCCTGAATGGCAACATCATCACTCCCTGGAGAACGCAGGTACATCCGCCAGATGACGAGTCCCAAATAGGACGAAATGAGCATCCGGGATTCCACTGCTAGTCACCATCCACCAATTAAATTCATATGAGTGACTGACTGCAGGTGAGAGGCCATGATCACCAGTTTTTTAAACAAGTTGGGCATGAGGATAGATACTTACCGATGATATTGACTGGCGATCGCACTATATATCACGTATTGTCAGAAGTTAGAATCGATGGGCTGGTCATTGAATTTCTTCCCAGCGACCGAGTAGTAAACGAACTTGCTTTGTAGCATGAAGGTCCTGGATTCATTCCCTGGAAGTAGGGGGACAGCTGTCCAGGACTCCTTCGTTTTCGTGCAAACCAACACTTGATAGTACTTGACATGATGGTTCCCCACGATTATCCAGTGAAACGTGCACCACATGGGTATTTATTTCGCTTAAATCATTTTTGGCAAGCAAGCCTTTTCATTTAGATTAGTAATTTTGTCGGTAGCCTGTAGTATTTTAGTTTACATGTCAAATAGAACAGACAAATCGATATTGTCGAAATGAACCTCACGTCATCTAATATTAACTTACCTGCATATATATAATATGTATTGTCTAGTACATTCTTCTCTCCTTTTTTTTCTCTTCAAAATGTCAAATTAGAAATCATTTGTTTACAAAGTTGAATGTGAATATGTTGTAATATCACATTTGCATACTGTTATACTGGTACTCTGACCACTACTCAATATTCTTATCTTATCTAATTGTGTCATCATCGTCATCATCAACATATGTTGGGTGAAAGTTTTTTTTTTTCTTTTAAAATTGTTTTACTTGAATTATTATTACTTTATATGTATATGACAGTCACATCATTGTTGGTATGTCAGTTAATCGTTACGGCTTTAAATCTTCTTCATCATTTGAGCTGACATGGGACACGAGTTACACATTGTCTACCGTGTTATTATTATTATCATTATTATTGTTTCCTTTAATTCCTAGAGGAACATAGGGCTTCAACCGTGCGTGTCTCCATTGCGTTCGGTTCTCTGCTAGAGTCTTCACCTGGCTCCTCCAAGTCTGCCCACACGTTTTCATCTCCTCTTCACATCACCTTCTCCTCCATGTCACCCTTGCACTGACGACCAACTCGCCGCTTCCCTTTCGGCCGGGTTTCACTCCAGCAATGACTTGTCTAGTGATGTCACTTGATGGATTGTTTCCTCAGAGTATGGTCTACCGTGTTAACTGAAGTAGAATTGAAGTATGAGAAAGTGTATGATAAATAGACAGACAGACTGAAACATTCGTCTAAATCAGGAATCCCTTGACGATTGGTGATTTGAACACTGTAGATCTTCTAATTTGGGATCATTGTTAGGCAATGGAACTCAATAACGACTATAGGAGGGAAAATACGTTCGTATTTTATATGACAGTTCTTCTTTTAGGGAGTGAAAATTAATAAGTTTCGATTGGGTTCACGAAATATCAAAAGATTCAGAGAAAATTGACTGTTAATTGAAAGAGCGTGAAGACAAGTATGGAACTAAATTATGTTGTAGTTCAAGAGAGAGTTAATAGTAGGTCAGTTAAGGAAATGAGAATGATGATAATAATGTGGCATACGAAATTGCTTAAAAAGTATTGATAACACTTGTACTTGGATTTATACCCAGGGTACTAGGAAGGGAATGGAGAAGTTTCTTTCGACTTTGAATGAATTCTCCTTGTATACTAAGTGACCAATATTATGGTTGCAGCGAAGAAAATTTTCTTTTCGACGAAATCATCAACTGGGAGATCGTAAACGTGTATATAGTTCAGTAATGACAGAATATCTAGTCAATTCAGCGCCATCCATGTCACTTTCGGATGCCCAACTCATCTTTTTCTACTCGTTTTTCACTCGAGAACTTATCTGTCTTGTGGTGTCACTCAACGGTATCCTCAGCATGTGCCCGATCCATCGACGAAACAACTTCTTACTGTCGATATGCCGATGACACATTTGTAGTGTGCAACAATGAAAGTCATGCTTCGCACTTACTCAGATTATTCAATGATGCACACACCAATATTGAGTTCACCATGGAACATGAAAGTGACGGAAAGTTCCACTTTCTCGACATTGCCATGGAACGCCTAGAAGACGGTAGTCTTCAAAAGTCAATTTATCGAAAGCCTACTCGGAAAAGACAATACTTACATTTTAATAGTTTTTGTCCAAATAGCTTTAAACGTGGTCTGGTCAAGACTCCGTACTATAGAGCGAGGAGAATATGCTCTATAGAAAAATTAGAGGAAGAATTTGCGTTTCTTGAAAATATGTTGAAGAGCAATGGTTACGCTCGAAGGTTCATTAACAAGTATGGAAGATCTGAAGTCTCAAATGTAAACAAATCACAGTGGAGAAAAAGCTAATGTACACTCAACTTGATTATAAAGGTGAAAACATTGCAGTAATGGTCAACAGAAGACTGAGTACGTCATTAGCCACAGCATATCCTGCAGCTAAGCTCGTCTATGTCTATCGAACAACTTGCTCTATGGTGCAATCAAAAATCGATAGAAATCCTTCTCATGTTAACTCCAACTGTATATACAAATTTACATGTATCTGCGAGAGCAGTTACATTGGAAGAACAGAAAGAAGAGCATGTCTACGATTTTCTTAACATGTACCAAAAAGCTTATGTCTAAAGGGAACAAATGCTTTAAACAGTGTTATCGCCAGACATCTCCTTGACACGGGTCATGAGGTATAAATCGCAAGATCGTCCAAAATTATCAATAGGCAAAAGAGCTCAATTCTCCTCAAGTCTGCTGAAGCCATTCCCATCAAGTGCCTGAAACCTGATTTATGCGTTCAGAAAGAAGCATTTATCAGTCTTTCTTTGCCCTGACTGGTAACTGGATATTTTCACCTCTTTCATCTGATTACGTGATGTTTAAAGTTTCTATTGTGTATGATCATTATTGTTGGGAATAGTGTTTAATATTATGTATATTATTACTGTATGCGTATATTGATCGACGGATTTTTGTTTAAAATGAACTCTATGCAAGTATGTTAAAATTGTTTTTGTAGATATATTTAATAATGTCTTTGGCCTGTAAGCAGCTGACGAGAAGGCAACGAAATAAAAGATAGTACCACTTTATTCTGAAAAAAATTGTAGTTCTTGCTTTGTTTGGCATATATTTATTGGGCACTAAGTTCGCCTAGTCTACTAACCGGTTCTAAGCCCGGAAAATCAACTCAGTCGCTAAAGGGAAACTTCAATGCACAGAGAAATACATCATCTCTATAGAAAGACAGTGTGCAAGTCTAGATCTCATCTCTGCGTTCAAAGTCATTTGCATACTCCCTCATCCACTTAACCATAACCAGAATAATATTTCCATCATGGTTTCGTTTAAATTTCTAAGTTTTTTTTCAATCTAATGCAGATTTCAGTTTAGCACTTTTCTTTCTGTCCATACTTTTATGTTGATTTTTTGCATATCTAAACTATCGTTTCCCATTTTGCATCACTCACCATGCAAAACATTTCTCAGGCATACAAAATAGCATTGTGTAATTGATTTGCCGCCGCCTGTTATTATCTGAAAAGCACTCAGTATTGTGTTGTGTTGTGCTGTATTGTATACTTGCAGTAAACGTATATCTATATGTATCCGAGTTACTCATCCGCTTTTATACTCCTTTTTTTCTTTCTTTCTCTCTCTGCTTTTTAGCTCACATTCTAATAAGCGTACAAAACCACCACCACGTTTATGGTGTGATAATTGTCTTGTTTTCGATAGTCATGATACCAAAGATTGTCCACAGACGACGACGACGACTGTCAACAACAAAAATTATAACAATGGTACACATATCAACAATGGAGTCATAAATAATAATACTAACAATAATCCGCCATCATCAATTGATGATACTCCTCATAGACGACCATCGAAAACTTATCATAAACATCGTATTTCATCGACAACACATAGAATATATTGTGATAATTGTGGTGTATTCGATGATCATATCACTGAAAATTGTACAGATGCACAAACATTTTAAAACAATACTCAAATAAAAATAAATCATTGATTTTATATTATGTATGCATTATTTGTAATTCCACGAATATCTATCTATCTATCAATCATCGATGCATGTCACCGTCGTTGTCATTTCATATTTAACATTGCTATTACACTCTACCCTATAGGCAGGAGGCGGTGACTAAAGGTGAAATCTGAGATCTCTAGGTTTCGCTCTCATTGTACACACACTATTTGCATCGACACACACGCAAGCACTCATACACACATACATACTCATACACATAACAGAAATCTTTTACATCTCTTTGAGTAGTATCTGTTTCATTGGTGATATCAATAATGGCAGAGAGTGCATATTCTTATCGGTTAGTACTTTTAATTTTCGTTTGTTGTTATCGCCCCATGTCAGGGTAATTAATTCGTTGGTTGTATTTAGTGCCTTATACTTTTCCTCGTGTTCGATTTATCATTTGTGTTGTCGTCTTAGTTCTCCACGTTGTTATCGTTCTTTCTTGACAGAGAGAATGTGTGTGTATGTGTATATGTGTGTGCTGTCAGTGTCGTCTTCGCTTTCACCACCACATTTTGCATTTTCCCTTCCACTCCTTCTTTCTTTCCTTGGATAAACCAGCAGTTGAGTAGTAATCATGATAATCTTTTATTTATAGGGTCAAATGTTAAATAGAGTATATAATTTAAACAGCAACGCACCTTTTCACCTATCTGTCTATCTACCTATCTATCTATCAACGTGCTCATATATACTTGTCTCAATTCTTTGCTGTTGTTGTTGACACTATTTTATTATTATTATTATTATTACTATAAATGATAAAATAAATTCTATTTTCTTATTATTTATTGTGTTTTCTCCTTACAGGATTTGGTTACAGGATTTCATTATAAGGTGACATAGGTTAGAGAACCATTGAAAAACCTGGGATTACTGGACAGCTCTTTCGACCTAGTTTGGGACTCTTCAGCGGTACGCGGGACCCGATTCAATGGTTCATGAATTCTAACTTCTACCGATTCGTGATTTAGCGCGATCCCATTCATGAGCCATTGAATCGGGTCCCAGTGGTTGAATGGTATGCGAGCTTGCCTTGTAACCGGAGGGTTCTGGGTTCGAACCTCCTGTGGTGGGTGCGTATTGCCGATGATTCCCAAAACTAAGATGAAACAGCTGTCCAGTACTCCAGTGCTGGTTTTCAATGGTTCTCTAACTGATATCAATCCGTGTTCAACTCATAAAAAAAGCTTCATATATGTGTAAAATTTGGGCACTGTAGTAGTAAGTAATTCCATATTAGTTTGTTTATATGATATGATTATGAACAATAAATTTTGTTCGAAATCTTGTCATCCGGTAAATAATACTGTTTCACTATGTGATACATCTAATAAACAAACTAATAGAGAAAAATCTTCATCTGAATTTTTAATTAACCTAATAATTCCATTTGGTGTGAAGTATACTTTTGTATATATTTTTTAAAATTCCTTGCGTTCCGATTGAGCGAAATGGTTTTGATGCTTTTGAGCTTTCAGTAGTTGGGTGTTTTTTTCGGGGCTGGAGCTGCTAGATTCACACTCGACCTCCGGACTTTTCTGTGTTTCCTGTCGGTTATTAAACTAGACAAGGTTTAGGATAGCGGCGGTCGGAAATTGAACCCGGATTATGTACTTTGTGGGTGGATGTTCTACTGTTAGACCACAGACTCACGATAGGCGTTATTCGTTAGACTACAGATGTTACAATTACTTGAAATTCAATGCAGTTGATACTACTTGGCTGCCCAAACCTCCGTAGGTGGAGAGGGGTTCGAATCTGTGACTCATCGGTTGAAAGTTGTGCACCGAAATCAATAGGGCACAGCTTCACTGTATTTTTTTCTGGATACTGTAAATAAAATGTTGACTGCTGACTTATATGAGTAGTTGGTAGAGTAGATACAGAAATTGATGCTAGTGAATTAATAACAGACCTCCTAGAAATGCAGTAAAAAGAACAATTGATGCAGTAGAGACACATTGTCTCTTCATAACCATTCCAACTTTACGTTTGGGAAATACGGATAAACTACCTAATTTCCCCCCCTCTATGTGCATCTACCAGTTTAACTGTTCCTATGCAGCTAATTACAGTAGGCATGCTCATCAGATTTCTCAACATCTCGCTCGTTTAAACAAGGTCTATTCGTAGCTCTGTTTCAGCTCACCTTGCCTATACTTAGCACAAAACATTCAAGTGTTGGTTTGCAGGGATTGTTGATTGGTTACAGGATTTCATCATAAGCTGACATCGGTCAGAGAACCATTGGAAACCTGGAAGTACTGGGCGGCCAGCTGTTTCATCCTAGTATGGGACTCCAGTTGTACCCACCCATCACCAGAGATCGAACCGAAGATCTTTCGGTTACAAGGTGAACTCTCAGACACCTAAGTCACTAGGACCCGACCCAATGGCCAGCCCATGAATTCCAACTTCTGCCAATTCACGATATAGCGTGACTGGTACCAGCGAATGTCATCTGTGGCTGGTCACGAATTCCTACTAGAAACCAGGTAAATACCTACCTGAATAAAGCCAGTCTCTAGTGAGCATCAGATTAATATTCGAGTGTTGGTTTGCAGGGATTTAACGAGTGGGATACAGCAGGTCGGGTGTGAGGACGAATACTGACTACAGACGATATTGGCTAGTGGTCACGCTATTTCATGAATTCAATATAGAAAATATCCCCATTTAGACATTTGGAAAACACAAAAGATTGAGCGAAGAAATATTTACTTTTCAATTAGATCCTCTTCTCTGGCTCTACTCTAATATATATTTCATGAATTGACAGTAGTTGGAATTCATGGGCTGGCCATTAGATCGGTTCCCGGTGAACCAATGATCTACAAGCTTGCCTTGTAACCAAAAGGTCCTGAGTGCTAATCCTGGTGGCGGGTGCGTACTCCTGGAGAGTCCCATACTAGGACGAAACAACTGGCCGTCCAGTATTCCTAGGTTTTCCATTGGTTCTCTAGTCTTTGTCAGTTCATGATGAACCTGATATTAGTAAGGCATTTAAGGTTATCTATCGTATTCTAACCAATCTTATTTCGCCTTACGAGTTCGTATTCTACGTATAGCTGAAGTCGTTTAAATCGACCTGAAGAAGCTCAGTTTATGTGTTTAGAAGCAATTCGTACATCCTCTTCGTTAAGTTGGCTATCAATACTCGGTTGTAACAATCTGACAATTCCCCTTCCTTCTGAAGTCATTGACTGTCTTTAATTGTTGCTTTAATTTTTGTCTGAATTTTAGCTGATATTCAATTTAGTATTATATTCAAGCCATATTACCACTGACACGTACGTTTGAATTGTAATCAACTGATGTTGTTGTTTTTTTTTTAAAAAAAGCCCATTAACGTTGTCAGTAACAGTTGTTCTTTCAGTATTATTTATATTTAACTGTAGAATCTTATGAGAAAGTTATCAAGATGCATATTCTTTGCTCAATATAACTTTTCGATGAAGCATGAGGTATTTATTATGTGTCGGTGGGTCAGTAGTTAAACACTCTCCAACAGCACTGAACGTGGTCTGGGTTCGATTCCCAGTCGACGTACCCTTATACCTCATATAGTTTACTACCTTATTGTAAGCTTAACAAGAAGCAAGGGTTGGGTGTCAGTTTAGACACCTCACCCTGTTAGAAACAATAACACTGCCATTAAAGTTTCAGGCCTGAAGCTCTATTTTGCACTTGGAACTTATGCAGTGATGCAGATGTGGTCATGGTGGTTTATTCTGGAATTCAGAGTGCATACTGGTTCCAAATCGCAATGACACAATACGAATAAGCACATGTATTGATATAATCGAATCCTTCGAAGTGAAGACGGGAGTAAGACAAGGCTGCCTACTATCTCCAATGATTTTCCTGGATAATGCGACAGACAGCGGGAAACGAAGAGACAGGCACAAAAAACTTGGAGGATCTGGATTTCGCTGATGGTATATGACCGATTTCCCACAAATTGGAAGATATGTGAGTGAAAATCAACAAGTTGGCAGAAGAAGCATCAAAGATAGGACTTAAGGTGAACATATAGAGAAAAGAGAGGTGATGAAGATTCCTGGCCAACAGCAACAGTCAACAATCAGCATAAATGGGAGAAATCTGAAAGAAGCAACCTCCTTCACCTACCTACCTACCTACCTGAGAAGCATTGTCTCAACTACAGGTGGACGGAACTGATGAGGATATCAAAACGAGGATCGGGAGAGCAAGGCAAGGAAGCCTTCCTTACTCTCAAGTCTGTGTGGAGATCAACAGCACTCAGCGTAAAAAATAAGATCTGGATTTTCAGCTCCCATGTGAAGTCAGTGCTACTTTATGGATCAGAGCCTAGGAGCATCAATAAGGCCACTTCGAACAAACTACAGAATTTCATCAAAAGCTGTCTTCGCTCAGTACTACTCAAGATCAGATGGCTGGCCAGAAAAGATCAGCAACAGCGGAGCGAACCAACCAGGAAACGATTGTGCAACAAATATGCAGGAAGAAATGGAGGTGGATTGGCCACTCTCTGAGAAAACAAAGCATCAAGTGACATCACACGACAGGTTCTCGAGTAGAACTCGAACGGGAGGCGGCGAGTTGGTTGTCAGTGCGAGGATGGGGTGACATGGAGGAATTAATGTGAAGAGGAGATGAAAGCATGTGGGCAGACGTGGAGCCAGGTGAAAACGTTGTCAGAGAACCGAACACAATGGAGGCTTGAAGTTTCGGTAGCAGTAGTTTTTTGAATATTTTTTACCGGATCTGGTTGCTAGCCTCATGCCTAGCCAACCTTCCCTCTTTACTAGTCTTATTACTGGCTTAGTGAGGTATAGGAGTGCGTCAGTGACCGGGGATCGAACCCCGGACCATGTATATCGTCGGCGAGTGTCCTAACCGCTGTGCCACTACCGACGCACCGATATCAGTGTCCATGAGACTCATAATCAATTTCAGAAAAGTTAAAAAAAGATGAACTGTATTAGTGTAAGTGTGTCCATGCCTGTTCATGTGTCATTTATTTATGTTATACAATGCAAAAGGAAAGTGTGATTGATGTAAACATTGTAAAAATAAAACAATATTTTTTGTTTGTTTTGACTTTTACTAATTTGTAAAACGAAAAGTAAAAACAAACAGCAAATGACAGACAATCATAACAACAAAATTACAACTGTCTAGCGATACCAACAAGCTAAAGTATTTAAACACAAGTTAGTTAGTTAGTTGGTTAGTTAATTAATATTGGGACAACACAAGGAAAAACTACGCTTAGTAAGTAAATAAGTAGAAGCCGAAGAGACTATGTCATGTGTATTCTGCTTTTGCGTTAGACACTTTAAATAAACTAAAAGTTTGTTTAAAAAAAACACAATAAGGAGGAAGAAAGAAACGAGGAAGAAAAAGGGGAACAGCATGTAAATAAGCAAATTGGTTTTTGGGGTTAGTAGACAGATAGATAGATAAATATCAAATAAAAATGACAAAGTTTAGCTTTGTTTACCTTTCTGGTTCCACTGGATGTTACAAGAATTGATAGCATGACTAAATGTACAAGAGCGACATGGAGAGAGAGAGGGCAACCAGTCGAATGAGTAAACAAAACAAGACCAAGAATGAAAGATGATGAATACAATGGGGCATGTTGTATAGAGTAAGAAATGAAGAAACCTAATAACCCAGTGTTAAGTAAAATACACTATCACAGATTGATGAGGGTAAATTTTCTGACTGAAAAAGGC